GTGTTACTACTTAAGATTAAACTGCGTTTTTTTGCTTGTTGATTTTCTTTCAGTTAGAGCATCTGTTAGAATCACTGACAACCCTGCAGAATTTTCTTGGAAGAGACTGTTTATCTTTAGGCTTTTGTTCCTGGAACTGCTAAAAAGGAAATCGTTATAGAAATAACTTATGCATCAGAAATGGAAATTGTAGAAATCTCTGTATGCATTCTCACCTCACACAACCATCTCTGAGAAAAGGATCTCATTGAACTGACACATATTTCTGAATATGACCAAAGCGAAGGCTCTATTCTGTGTGTTCACCCACTTCGTTTCCACTAGAAGGGAAACGAAATGCTCAAGTATGGCTGCAGAAAAATGCTGCCCAAAAATGCTCTACATTGTACCCCTTACAGCTGCTTATCGGAAACCTCAGTGGTAGTCATACAGCGTTTTTGCTCTACGATAAAAAATGCCCTTTGGTGATACTTGGGCTTAAAAAATTTCTAGTTGTTTCAGTGAAGAGGTTTTCAAACAATGTGGTGAAGCCGTTGGTCCGTGAAATGGACGAAAAATCGCAAATGCATCAATCGGTGATAACGGGAGCTTTTGAGAACGGGGTAAGATTATTTTTCCGTTTGGCTTTTCAGCTCAAATACTCACGAAATGTCAGCCTGTTGCCAACCTCAGATTGTAAATAATACGCCTAGTTCTTTAGTCATTTAAATTGATTGCAATGGCTTACAGCACCTTGTCGGATGTGTCGAGTCGACTAACATTGGGGTTTTAGATCAGAATGTGTCACTCTTTGAAGTTGAGCGGTCCATATCTTTCGTAGTTTAGAAATGAGGGCAGCGCCCTGACGTGACTAGCTAGCGCTGCCCTGCTTCGGCGAGCCAGCGGGTATGGGTCACGGCACGTCTTGACCCATACCCGCATGAATGCCAGTCGCTATCATTTTGTTCTTTCGTTTCGTGACGTTCCTTGGCTGAGAATCCGTCAATTATTACCCACCTTCTCGGATATTAATGATGAGCGCTTCAAAGCGGGAGGATGACCACTTTTATTTTTTAGTTTATGGGAATCGAAGTTCCTGAATCATATGGTGGTCCAGGATCATCGTTCTTCGACACAGTTCTCGTTGTGGAGGGACTAGCTAAGGTGAACTATTTGGCTGTAAACAATTTACAGATTGTTGAAGAAAACACTGTTCACTTTCCTATTTATCATCTACGGCTACTTCTTACAACACCTGTATGTAGGTCGACCCTGCCGTGTCTGTGTTCGTGGATGTACAAAATACCCTTATCGCCCCTCTACTAATGCAACTTGGATCAGAAGAGCAGAAGGAAAAGTATCTACCAAAGATCGTCTCTGAGTGGGTAAGGTTGTACTTCGATTACTACCCAATTTTCCTGCATAGCAAGTTGTATCTGATCTCTTGGTTAACATTCTCGAATAAATGCCGATTTGTTTGAACTCCTATTCCTTAACCCGATTGGGTATCTTTATAGGTCGGTTCATTTTGCCTTTCCGAACCTTCTTCCGGATCTGATGCCTTTGCTCTGAAAACTGTGGCTAAAGCAGACGGGAATGACTTCATCATTAATGGATCCAAGATGTGGATCACCAATGCTGGACATGCTAGCTTTTTCTTGGTTTGTTTTTTTCTCAAAATGATTGTTTACCCTGATTTGACCTGGCCGGCGAAACCTAATCTCTCATCTCACACTCTTACGGTTGTGCATGCCATTGCCTGGTTTTATTATGCACCCGTGC